CAGTATATAGTCGAAACTATGGAATAGTCTATAGTCGAGAGCATAGAAGAGTCCATAGTCGAGACTATGAAACTGTAGTCGACCCTTTATAGAGAACTAGTGAAAAATTTGAAACGCAATTTGAACCCTAAATCTGCTTACTATATAAAGTACAGTAATCCCTTGTAAACAGAATAAAAATTACAATAAAAATAAAAACAATTAGCAGAAAATTATAATGAATACAAAAACTACAAGAAAATGAGAAATCAACAAACACCTGCTCAAACAACAACAGAAGCAGATTGTTGTAATTGTTGTTATTGCTATAAAAAGGAAGAAAACACAGGCGAAAGTAAAAGTAAACAAAACAACAATAATAGAAAAACGGCAGCCAAGGAAAACTTCCTGGAAACCGGTTTAGTTGTTTTACAACAAGTAAGAGATTTAACATTACTCTTAATAAAACTGAGTTTATTTTTTTTCACTCTCTTAACATGTTATCAACAAAAATTGGCCTATAAATTGTAACCAAATAAAAAAAATCAAAAACAAATTAGAAACTTGTTTGTATTTTCTTTTCTATTTTTAGAATTTATTTTTAAATATAAACAAATAATGAAAATGTTTAGACATCTTTAAGGGTGGGTAATTTTTTTTTTTTTCTATTAGATTGTTTTGTGTTTGTGTTGGAAAAAAAATCAAATAATTGTATTTATTTACTTATTATATCTTATCGAAAATTAACCCAATTATAATCTAAGTAACAGCCAATCAATGACTTTATTTGGTTGTTTGTTGGTTGATTTTGTAAGATTTTTTTTTTTCATTTTATGATTTCTTATTAGCACTACTATTGACAGCAGTGGGTGTTGAAATTTGAAACAGTGATGTCAATTTGTGGTTTTTATAAGAATTGGCAAACGAATGCGGAAGGACCATTTCTATCAATAGTCTATAGCCTGTACTAAAGTCTCAACTACAGACTGTTCTATAGCCTCGCCTATGAACTGTTCTAAAGTCTGGCCTACAGAGTGTTCTATAGTTTCGACTATAAACTGTTCTTAAGTCTGGACTATAGACTGTTTTGTAGACTCGACTATAGGCTGATATAAACTCTGGACTATAGAATTTTCTATACTCTCACCTACAGACTGTTCTATAGTCTCACCTACATACTGTTCTAGTCTCGACTATAGACTGTGTTATGATATCGACTATAGACTGTGTTATGATATCGACTATAGACTGTGTTATAGTATCGATTATAGACTGTTCTATAGTCTTGACTATAGACTGTTCTATAGTCTTGACTATAGACTGTTCTATAGTCTTGACTATAGACTGTTCTATAGTCTTGACTATAGACTGTTCTATAGTCTTGACTATAGACTGTTCTATAGTCTTGACTATAGACTGTTCTATAGTCTTGACTATAGACTGTTCTATAGTCTTGACTATAGACTGTTCTATAGTCTTGACTATAGACTGTTCTATAGTCTTGACTATAGACTGTTCTATAGTCTTGACTATAGACTGTTCTATAGTCTTGACTATAGACTGCTCTATAGTCTTGACTATAGACTGTTCTATAGTCTTGACTATAGACTGTTCTATAGTCTTGACTATAGACTGTTCTATAGTCTTGACTATAGACTGTTCTATAGTCTTGACTATAGACTGTTCTATAGTCTTGACTATAGACTGTTCTATAGTCTTGACTATAGACTGTTCTATAGTCTTGACTATAGACTGTTCTATAGTCTTGACTATAGACTGTTCTATAGTCTTGACTATAGACTGTTCTATAGTCTTGACTATAGACTGTTCTATAGTCTTGACTATAGACTGTTCTATAGTCTTGACTATAGACTGTTCTATAGTCTTGACTATAGACTGTTCTATAGTCTTGACTATAGACTGTTCTATAGTCTTGACTGTAGACTGTTCTATAGTCTTGACTATAGACTGTTCTATAGTCTTGACTATAGACTGTTCTATAGTCTTGACTATAGACTGTTTTATAGTCTCGACTATAGACTGTTTTGTAGGCTCGACTATAGACTGTTCTATAGTCTTGACTATAGACTGTTCTATAGTCTTGACTATAGACTGTTCTATAGTCTCGACTATAGACTGTTTTATAGTCTCGACTATAGACTGTTTTGTAGGCTCGACTATAGACTGTTCTATAGTGTCGACTATAAGCTGTTCTATAGTCTTGACTATAGACTGTTCTATAGTCTTGACTATAGACTGTTCTATAGTCTTGACTATAGACTGTTCTATAGTCTTGACTATAGACTGTTCTATAGTCTTGACTATAGACTGTTCTATAGTCTTGACTATAGACTGTTCTATAGTCTTGACTATAGACTGTTCTATAGTCTTGACTATAGACTGTTCTATAGTCTTGACTATAGCCTGTTCTATAGTCTTGACTATAGACTGTTCTATAGTCTTGACTATAGACTGTTCTATAGTCTTGACTATAGACTGTTCTATAGTCTTGACTATAGACTGTTCTATAGTCTTGACTATAGACTGTTCTATAGTCTTGACTATAGACTGTTCTATAGTCTTGACTATAGACTGTTCTATAGTCTTGACTATAGACTGTTCTATAGTCTTGACTATAGACTGTTCTATAGTCTTGACTATAGACTGTTCTATAGTCTTGACTATAGACTGTTCTATAGTCTTGACTATAGACTGTTCTATAGTCTTGACTATAGACTGTTCTATAGTCTTGACTATAGACTGTCTATAGTCTTGACTATAGACTGTTCTATAGTCTTGACTATAGACTGTTCTATAGTCTTGACTATAGACTGTTCTATAGTCTTGACTATAGACTGTTCTATAGTCTTGACTATAGACTGTTCTATAGTCTTGACTATAGACTGTTCTATAGTCTTGACTATAGACTGTTCTATAGTCTTGACTATAGACTGTTCTATAGTCTTGACTATAGACTGTTCTATAGTCTTGACTATAGACTGTTCTATAGTCTTGACTATAGACTGATCTATAGTCTTGACTATAGACTGTTCTATAGTCTTGACTATAGACTGTTCTATAGTCTTGACTATAGACTGTTCTATAGTCTTGACTATAGACTGTTCTATAGTCTTGACTATAGACTGTTCTATAGTCTTGACTATAGACTGTTCTATAGTCTTGACTATAGACTGTTCTATAATCTTGACTATAGATTGTTCTATAGTCTTGACTATAGACTGTTCTATAGTCTTGACTATAGACTGTTCTATAGTCTTGACTATAGACTGTTCTTTAGTCAAGACTATAGTCTCTATAGTCTCGACTATAGTCTTGACTATAGACTGTTCTATATTCTTGACTATAGACTGTTCTTTAGTCTTGACTATAGACTGTTCTATAGTCTTGACTATAGACAGTTCTATAGTCTTGACTATAGACAGTTCTATAGTCTTGACTATAGACTGTTCTATAGTCTTAACTATAGACTGTTCTATAGTCTTAACTATAGACTATTCTGTAGTCTTAACTATAGACTGTTCTATAGTCATAACTATAGACTGTTCTATAGTCTTGACTATAGACTGTTCTATAGTCTTGACTATAGACTGTTCTATAGTCTCGGCTACAGACTGTTCTATAGTCTCGGCTACAGACTGTTCTATAGTCTCGACTATAGACTGTTCTATAGTCTCGACTATAGACTGTTATATTGTTTCGACTATAGACTGTTCTATAGTCGAAACTATAGACTGTTCTAAAGTTCTGGACTATAAACTGTTCTTAAGTCTGGACTATAGACTGTTCTGTAGCCTCAGCTATAGGCTGATATAAACTCTGGACTATAGAATGTTGAGACTATAGACTGTTCTATAGTCTCGACCATAGACTGTTCTATAGTCAAGACTATAGACTGTTCTATAGTCAAGACTATAGACTGTTCTATAGTCTGGACTATAGACTGTTCTATAGTCTCGACTATAGACTGTTCTATAGTCTCGACTATAGACTGTTCCATAATCTCGACTATAGACTGTTCTATAGTCTCGACTATAGACTGTTCTATAGTCTCGACTATAGACTGTTCTATGGTCTCGACTATAGACTGTTCTATAGTCTCGACTGTAAACTGTTTTGTTGACTTTTCTATAGTCTCTATTGTAGTTGAACTATAGTATTTAGAATCTTTTGTAGTCACTGTCTTTATACTTTATACTTTTATGATTTCCCAAAAGTTGTACGTTTATTGACGCCCCTTATCAGTTAAAAAAAAAAACTTCTGGTATAATTTGTCAATATTAAATCCACACGTTTCTTTTAGAACGGTTATCTCTAGCCACTATTTTTAAGCCATAATTTTTTGGTAAAATTTGAACACACGTCAAATGATTTTTTGCTATCATTAAATAAGTTCACGTGAATAGCTTAGATTTAGGGAAAAAACCCCGATCAAGAGAACTTTAAATGACTTAACATTTATTGCTAATTAGATGATTATTTAAATAGGTTATTGTATGTAAAATATATAAAATTATTTACTAAAGATAAGCCCTAAGAATTGTTTGAAAAAACACGCAATTTATGATTTATTGCGTTTAAATTTTAAAATAAAAATTATATATATATTTTTTTTTTTCGTTTATAATATGTAGTGATAATTAAAGTAAAAATAAAATAATAATATGAATAAGATTGTTTGAACATCGTTTCTATTATAAATTAAATGCTCAGCTAATAGAAGAAATTATAAAACACTTAAAATAAATACATAATGAAAAAAAGCTAAGGGTACAAATTCCACCTCTAGAGAAATAGAAATTAACAAAAGAATTTGTTAATTTTATAAATAAATTGATAAAAAAAAGTTTAAAGTAAAAGTGATTTAATTTTTAGACAATGGCACTTGAGTAATAAAAACTTGCATTTAAACTATCTAAGGAAAACGCAGAAATCGTTTAAAGGATTTGACCATATTCTATATTTCTACAAAAGTTTTTTGGAATTCGTATTTAATAACTTACTTTTCTTTTTGATAAGAGCACAAAATCTGAAAGGAAAGAGAGAAATAAACATTAGTTTTACTACAAAATTATGAAAATATAGATTAAATTTATTCATGTATCATTATAAAGATGTAACATTTCCATCTCTGAGACATTTTAGAGTTACCAACAGTTGGACTTCTATTTTCGGTAAACACTAGTCTATAGTCTAGTCTATAGTCTAGTCTATAGTCTAGTCTATAGTCTAGTCTATGGTCTAGTCTATAGTCTAGTCTATAGTCTAGTCTATAGTCTAGTCTATAGTCTAGTCTATAGTCTAGTCTATAGTCTAGTCTATAGTCTAGTCTATAGTCTAGTCTATAGTCTAGTCTATAGTCTAGTCTATAGTCTAGTCTATAGTCTAGTCTATAGTCTAGTCTATAGTCTAGTCTATAGTCTAGTCTATAGTCTAGTCTATAGTCTAGTCTATAGTCTAGTCTATAGTCTAGTCTATAGTCTAGTCTATAGTCTAGTCTATAGTCTAGTCTATAGTCTAGTCTATAGTCTAGTCTATAGTATAGTCTATAGTCTAGTCTATAGTTTAGTCTATAGTCTAGTCTATAGTTTAGTCTATAGTCTAGTCTATAGTTTAGTCTATAGTCTAGTCTATAGTTTAGTCTATAGTCTAGTCTATAGTTTAGTCTATAGTCTAGTCTATAGTCTAGTCTATAGTCTAGTCTATAGTCTAGTCTATAGTCTAGTCTATAGTCTAGTCTAGTCTATAGTCTAGTCTATAGTCTAGTCTATAGTCTAGTCTATAGTCTAGTCTATAGTCTAGTCTATAGTCTAGTCTATAGTCTAGTCTATAGTCTAGTCTATAGTCTAGTCTATAGTCTAGTCTATAGTCTAGTCTATAGTCTAGTCTATAGTCTAGTCTATAGTCTAGTCTATAGTCTAGTCTATAGTCTAGTCTATAGTCTAGTCTATAGTCTAGTCTATTGTCTAGTCTATAGTTTAGTCTATAGTTTAGTCTATAGTTTAGTCTATAGTTTAGTCTATAGTCTAGTCTATAGTCTAGTCTATTCTATAGTCTAGTCTATAGTTCAGTCTATAGTCGAGTATATAGTGTAGTCTATAGTCTAGTATGTAGTCTATTCTATATTCTAGTCTATAGTTTAGTCTACAGTCAAGTCTTTAGTCTAGTCTACACGTTGGTCTATAGTTTAGTATATTGCCTAGTTCATAGCCTAGTCCATCGTCCAGCCAGTAGTCTAGCCCATAGTCATTTGACTGGACCCTACTACCTATAGGTCTGATTCTGCTTTTACCAAAACATTATGGTTTTATTATTTTGCACATATAAACCTTAAAAATTTTAAAAAAGAATTAAATAATTATTTGTATATATTTCTGATAAGCTAATTAATTGTTAAGTATGTATTTTGTTTTTTTTTTTTTTTTTAATTATTTCTTATATAAGTTAAACATATAAACAAATTTTTTATATAAATTTGTTTAGTTTTGTTAGTATTTGTGTCTTGGCATTGAAATTATCAATTTTACAAGGTTCCTTTTGTGTTTAAAATATTTTCGTTAAAAGAAAAAAAAAACCAACAATGTTTGCGATATAAAGTTGAGCATAAAAAATTAAATATAAACAGATGATAAACTAACTAAAATTGCAACAGTTGTTTAAAGGAATTAATTCATGGAGACATTTTAAATAGTTTTTATTGTGTGTCAATCTAGCAAATTACTTGAGTTCGAAGGATCATTTTTCAACTTTTTTGCACAGTTCTCAAACTGATTCTACATTTTTGCTTTTGAATGACTTGTAAATATTTACATTAAGTTTTTTTTTTAAAAAGATTTTACTCTTTTAGTTCTATTTGAGTGAAAATATTTTAAAAAATGTGTGCAAAAAAATGAGAAATATTGAATCACAATAACAAATTGCATTAAATAATTTAATTTCAAAGAAAATGTATCTTAATTGATTTAAATTTAATAAATTTTCAGTTACAAACGTCAAATGTGTAAGAAAAAGATTTGACTTGACAGACACTTGAATGGACTGTCTGTCTACACATGAGAAAAAAAGTAAATTAAAAACATATTTGGTTCTCAGGAAATTAATAACAAAAATTCCTGAATTCGACATGATTTAAAATTTAATCAATTAGCCTATAGTCTAGTCTATAGGCCTATAGTCTAGTCTATAGGCCTATAGTCTAGTCTATAGGCCTATAGTCTAGTCTATAGACTAGTCTATAGTCTAGTCTATAGTCTAGTCTATAGTCTAGTCTATAGTCTAGACTATAATCTAGTCTATAGTCTAGTCTATAGACATATTTTAAAATTTAATCAAATAGCCTATAGTCTAGTCTATAGACTAGTCTATAGTCTAGTCTATAGTCTAGTCTATAGTCTAGTCTATAGTCTAGTCTATAGTCTAGTCTATAGTCTAGACTATAATCTAGTCTATAGTCTAGTCTATAGACATATTTTAAAATTTAATCAATTAGCCTATAGTCTAGTCTATAGACTAGTCTATAGTCTAGTCTATAGTCTAGTCTATAGTCTAGTCTATAGTCTAGTCTATAGTCTAGTCTATAGTCTAGTCTATAGTCTAGTCTATAGTCTAGTCTATAGTCTAGTCTATAGTCTAGTCTATAGTCTAGTCTATAGTCTAGTCTATAGTCTAGTCTATAGTCTAGTCTATAGTCTAGTCTATAGTCTAGTCTATAGTCTAGTCTATAGTCTAGTCTATAGTCTAGTCTATAGTCTAGTCTATAGTCTAGTCTATAGTCTAGTCTATAGTCTAGTCTATAGTCTAGTCTATAGTCTAGTCTATAGTCTAGTCTATAGTCTAGTCTATAGTCTAGTCTATAGTCTAGTCTATAGTCTAGTCTATAGTCTAGTCTATAGTCTAGTCTATAGTCTAGTCTATAGTCTAGTCTATAGTCTAGTCTATAGTCTAGTCTATAGTCTAGTCTATAGTCTAGTCTATAGTCTAGTCTATAGTCTAGTCTATAGTCTAGTCTATAGTCTAGTCTATAGTCTAGTCTATAGTCTAGTCTATAGTCTAGTCTATAGTCTAGTCTATAGTCTAGTCTATAGTCTAGTCTATAGTCTAGTCTATAGTCTAGTCTATAGTCTAGTCTATAGTCTAGTCTATAGTCTAGTCTATAGTCTAGTCTATAGTCTAGTCTATAGTCTAGTCTATAGTCTAGTCTATAGTCTAGTCTATAGTCTAGTCTATAGTCTAGTCTATAGTCTAGTCTATAGTCTAGTCTATAGTCTAGTCTATAGTCTAGTCTATAGTCTAGTCTATAGTCTAGTCTATAGTCTAGTCTATAGTCTAGTCTATAGTCTAGTCTATAGTCTAGTCTATAGTCTAGTCTATAGTCTAGTCTATAGTCTAGTCTATAGTCTAGTCTATAGTCTAGTCTATAGTCTAGTCTATAGTCTAGTCTATAGTCTAGTCTATAGTCTAGTCTATAGTCTAGTCTATAGTCTAGTCTATAGTCTAGTCTATAGTCTAGTCTATAGTCTAGTCTATAGAGAGAGAGAGAAAGAGAGAGGAAGCATAGAGACCCCAGAAAACAACATTGCAAAATGATTAATGTTGCCAAGGTGTACATGCATCAGCAGCAGCAATATTCTTTAACTTTCGACTATAGAGGGAACATACATATAATCCATCCGCTGGTGGTGGTGGTAAAGAACGCATTCGAGTTACGTTTGTACATGTGACCAAAGAATGATTGATTAAACAATGTTGACACACAGTCAGCAGCCAAAACAGTAAAACCTAGCGAACCAAAGCAAACCATACTAAAACCAACCAACCAACCAGCCATCCAAACGTACCATCGTCCATCGATCCACATCCAGTAAATTCAACATTTTAGAGACATGATTTTTTTATAAATTTTTTTCCTTCGTAATAATACTTTGCCAGCAGCTCTCACATAGATACAGTTGTTCATATAGAGACAATTGTGATGTTTGTACGAGAGTTTATGTTATTTGTACATCTATGGTTAAGTTTTGGGTAGAATAAACGAGAATAAACTCAGTGATTCATCAGAAAAATAAAATAAATAAATTTAATTTATAGAAAACGATATAGAAAAATGTTGTAGAAAACATTTAAACATTAAAAGGCAAATGTTTATTAAGATTTAAAGTTTTTTTCTTAAAGACGTCCTAAGTAAACGACTTTGTAGAATGAAATGCTCTCAATTGACCAGTTCTAGTTCAGTTCTAATTCAGTTCAAGTTCAGTTCTAGTTCAGTTCTAGTTCAGTTCTACTTCAGTTCAAGTTCAGTTCTAGTTCAGTTCTAGTTCAGTTCTAGTTCAGTTCTAGTTCAGTTCTAGTTCAGTTCTAGTTCTGTTCTAGTTCTGTTCTAGTTCTGTTCTAGTTCAGTTCTAGTTCAGTTCTATTTCAGTTCTAGTTCAGTTCTAGTTCTGTTCTAGTTCTGTTCTAGTTCTGTTCTAGTCCTGTTCTAGTCCTGTTCTAGTTCTGTTCCAGTTCTGTTCTAGTTCTGCTCTAGTTCTGTTCTAGTTCTGTTCTAGTTCTGTTCAAGTTATGTTCAAGTTATGTTCTAGTTCTGTTCTAGTTCTGTTCTAGTTCTGTTCTAGTTCTGTTCGAGTTCTGTTCTAGTTCTGTTCTAGTTCAGTTCTAGTTCAGTTCTAGTTCAGTTCTAGTTCAGTTTTCTAGTTCTGTTCTAGTTCTTTCTAGTTCTGTTCTAGTTCTGTTCTAGTTCTGTTCTAGTTCTGTTCTAGTTCTGTTCTAGTTCATGTTCTAGTTCTGTTCTAGTTCTGTTCTAGTTCTGTTCTAGTTCTGTTCTAGTTCTAGTTCTGTTCTAGTTCTGTTCTAGTTCTGTTCTAGTTCTGTTCTAGTTCTGTCTAGTTCTGTTCTAGTTCTGTTCTAGTTCTGTTCTAGTTCTGTTCTAGTTCTGTTCTAGTTCTGTTCTAGTTCTGTTCTAGTTCTGTTCTAGTTCTGTTCTAGTTCTGTTCTAGTTCTGTTCTAGTTCTGTTCTAGTTCTGTTCTAGTTCT